TATAAGTAGCCTAATCATATGTAAAGACAGGACAGTAAGTGACAAAACATATATTTTTTTAAAAATGCAGTTATTGAATATATTTTTGTTGTCATTATTATTGAGAAAGACAATCACAGCACACAGTTTCCCATCAGATGAAGTTAAAATGTGTATGTTGATACTTGAAAATTTGAAAAAAAGTGCTTAAGTTTTATTTGTACAGCCCCAAATCATAACTGAAGTTATCTTAAGATATATTTCATAGCAGGCCTAGACTGTACTTCTTTATTTACATTATTTAAGCAGAGACCACCAACAAATTCCCACCCACTGAGCCAACGCACTTGCGACAAACGCTCCAGCGAAACGAACCTCTAGCCAGAGCCTGCGCTCTAGGTGGGTGGCCATCTGCCTCTCCTATAATTTGTTAAAAGCATTAATATTGACTCATAAAACATTTGAAAATGTTAGTCACAAGTCAGCAAGACCACACAATTAAAAACACATCTCCATGATAAGTCTTAAATGTTTTGATCATGCTTGGAGGATTTTCATCTTATTTCAATAAATATTAAGATAATATCTTGTATCAAGCCAGGGTAATTGTACAAAAAGTATAAATGAAACAAGTCACAATCTGTGACGAGATAGCTTCTCCATTTGAATTTGAGTTGTTTTTGTGTTTTTTTAGGGTAATTGCTTCACATAGCCAGCATGCGACTCCTTACTCTCTGCTCCCTGTTTGAGCTGATCCAACAGCTAGATTATATTTCACATCACTGATGATATAAACAGTCACACATTGTGTCGCTACTGGCTTGCATACGCTCATATAATGTCAGCAAGCTGTTTGGAGTCACAGTTTTACCTAAAGTTCTCTGATGTGGCCCTAGAGCCTCCCTGTGTTTAAATGAACAGATGTGGGAGAGAGGGGAGAGAGAAGCCGGCAACGGTACCAAGTCGAAAGAAAACTGCTTTAAAAACTAAATTACCATTTAAAAACAGCAGCAAGCTGTAAACCATTTTGTTTTGGGCTGTTTGGCCAGCAGCAGGTGTTTGTGGAACACATTCCTTTAAGAGCCTTGCTCAAGGACACCTCGACAGTAGTTTTCAGAGGCAGAGGAGAATGTTACACATTCAGTTTTCCCAGCAGTTCTGGAGATTCAAGGTGTCTCAGCGCTCTAGGCTACTGCTGCCTCAAGACATAGAGTGGGATCGAGCGAAAAGGTCTGTAATGCAGTTCAAATATCTACTTACTTCTTAAACACAGCAATAAAATCATACAGAGCTTTAAAGTGTTTAGGGGAGTGGGGGGGACACCTGTGTGATATTAGCATTGGCAGGCATCCTTGCTATATATCCTTACACCTAAGGTCCATATTCTATTCTTGCTTGAGGCTATGATTGGGAGTATAGTCTTACAGTGTTTTGTGATGTTGTCATGTGACTGGTAAAATATACATATTGCTCTGCGTTTGGACCCAGGAGAGTGAAACAGATGGCGCTCTGGTGGACTAGACCTCATGGAAGTTTGTGGATTGCTGTGCATATTTGTCCCTTTTAATGTTGATCAAGGCGAGAGCAGCACTTCTTTACACACACACACACACACACACACACACACATTCCTGTGAGGTAGAGAGCTTTTGGTCGATAAAGACTAGACAGCCTCTAAGTAGCTTCTCTCATCATTATAGTTCCTCGAGCCTTCTCTATGGCTACGACTGCTCATTTGTAAGTGCGGGATGTTTCCCCGGCTGCGGCTTCATCTTTTGTTGCCCCCACTGTTTGCCATTCAGTTTATGGGGCCCACACACACACACACACA